ATAGAGTGAACAGTGGCCTATGGAGTATTGTATGATCAGGTCATTTTTCATGGATTCTGTGGTCGACGTTTCTATTTGTTTTCATCTCGTCCCAAGAGTCTGTTTCCGCATGGTCAGTACCTTATGTTCATCGGTAATGACCAGTGCGTATTTCTTCTTGCTATAATTTTACGTCTGAAAATCGTGAGTAGACCGCTGACTAACAGTACTGCGTTGACAATTTAAAGATTTAGTTGCACTAAAAAGGACTTGATTGGCATAATCATCTATAGGTTCTTCATTTATCTAGATTCGTATGGTCGTTTCCAGATATTTTAGGCCCAAATATTTTTCAAAAGGGACATTTCAAAAGATATGAGTTTTGTGGCACAGTTTCATAGGTCGTTCAGTGGTGGGGACTGCAGAGACACTATCCTAGGCCGATATATTTTATAAAAGGGACGTTTAAACAGATCAGTTTTATAGTGCAGTTTCGCCAAAGGCGATACGCGATAGGTCAGTCCGTCATGGAAATGGTTTCGTTGAATACAAAGAAGACCGAATCATTCTCAGCACGAAGTCCATACCCTTGACGAGAATAAGAAGAAGAAACAAGTCATGCCAGCTATTCTTGGATCTTGAAATGACATATATCCTATCGCTTTTCACCTATCTGCTATTGCCTATCGCCTTTGGCGATGACAACGTTTTTTGAATTAGGTGTATAAGCAATATATTTGCGCACGTCAGTGTGTTTTAGTATAAAGGCTGTCGGCCATCACAGCTTAGGAACACGATAAGTAGCTCTAGCTGAGTTGTGCTTGTTGTTTGAGTACCTTACAGCTCTCACTGAGACGTTTGTCACGTGAACGTGCCTCTATACTCAGTTCCGTTATATTAAGCTGAAATAATATACTTTAAAGCTTTTAGTAGAATTACATACGTTATTATTAATTCGCCAGATATTGTCTAGAGATGAAGTATGCGAGCGTGTTGTACTTTTCGTGGAATTGCATGAAATTGTGTATGTGAGATTGATTTCCCCCCCCTTTCTTTCACATCAAAACGAACAAACAAAGGAAAACAAAATCTTTCAGAAATATAGGGTATGTAATCCGAAAAACTGAAATTACAATTGTTTTTTGTTGCAATGGTTGTTAGTCATGTATTCCCGCAAATAAATCAGAAACCTCATGTATATAAGTGWATTTTCAATCTTTCCGCAATGCGATTCAAGGAAAATTTATTGTCATACTGGGAATTCTAAAGAATTTCACTGGAAATCCGATATCGTACTTCAACATAGAATTCCCTCGTCAGCCAATAAATTTTCCTATAAAATTTACTGATGATTAGAATATAGAGGATGCGTAGAATAACATCGTGATCTATACTGATCATGCTAGTGCTAAGATCGTTATTTACATTCGCTTTTAGAAGCATTTTTCAACGAACAAGTTCCGTCATGCATTAGAATGGGTTTGGTTCAGTTCGTTCAAATACATTGTCTTGTCTGGGTAGTCCAGCTCCTGGTACACATCTGAATTCTGCTGACCACTTTGATTGAGTTCCTGATAGATATCTCCTTGGTCGTTGATTACGCCACCAACAGAATCGTAAAGAATGTCATCATACCCGATATTTTCCTCGGAAGATGCATGGACATCTCGTTTATGAGGGGCTCCATATACACGAGGATTTTGTGCTTCGAATGATCCTGGAGCCTCAGCTGATTCAGGCCCTTCAAGTACATCATACACTGAAACACCCTCCGAGAATGGTCCCTCTAGTACTTGATAACAAGGAGGCTCATCACTCAGCCCTTCAAGGGTAGTATCATCGGTTTGCGGTCCCTCAAGGACATTGTACAAAGGCTCGTTGTGGTTCTCTTTTAG